ATGTTCGGTTTCCACAACTATATAAATATATAAATAATACATGTATGTGCTTGTGGGACATTTCATTATCCCGATATCTTTGGACAGGAAAATTTTTAACTCCTTTTACTCTCAAACTTTTTCAGTTTTACTACTTTTATTTCCTTGATTATTTTTTGAATCATGTGAGTTTTTTGGTGGGATCATGAATATCATTCAGACATTCACCATCACCATTGTGTGTTTCCACTGAAGCCTCAACATTCGCACGAACCACCTAACAATCATTTACTTCTACATCACTTACGTTATTTCTAATGACGTAATACACGCAACTTACATTATTGTTGCAGTTCTTGTCGTTCAATTGATCAACATATTCAAATCGATACTGTCTAAAACATGATAAACAAGATCAACAAGGAAAGGCAGCGTTCAATGGACGCAGCCCCACACGATCCAGCAACAAGATTAAGTGACAAGGAGCCCAGGAGGACCACAAACAAAAACAGGACAGGGCACAAGGAAGAACATGGGCAGGCCAATTTCTAAAATCATACATAAGAGGAAATAATTAGTAACTGATAAGGAACTCAAAGAAAGCAAATAAATTATTGATTTATAGGCCCATAAAGTCAATGGCACAGGGGACAGGAGACCCGGGGAAGGGGAAGAGGGGGTAAATAAAAGAATCAACAACTAGGGGCAAAGGGAAAGATACATAGTTGACTCAGTCATTTTGTACGTCGTTATATCACAGTAAATCTAATCTTCAATTTCTTTGATAAGCATTTGAGTCATGATAGGTAAGAGTTTTCGTCCAACAGTTTTTCTGAAGGATCTTTTCACAAGACCGAATAACCTCTCATAAAATCCGCCCATCCAGGGGGCAAGCTCTATAATAAACTTCCATTTGAAGTTTGCATTTGCAAAGTAGCTTTTACTTCGTTACTACGTAAAATAATATGCCAAAATCCTATCTGTAATTAAACTAGCGGCTTAACACTGTAGTGCAGTATCACTAATTACATGTAATGGAGTACCTCTTTGAGCTTTAAACCGATGGTAAGCTAAAAGAAATTCCATTGTGGTTAAGTCACAAACGACGGCTTATTTAACATATATTTCACTGTTGCACGACCATGTAAAAGTCAGAATCATTGCCTCGTTTTTACAAGTGTCTATGTAACACTTTGTCAGTTCTCTATGCATAAAAAGATCGTTCCATTGTAGAAGTATTGGTTGCCTTACGCCTTCACTTAAACTTGCATTTTAAGCCTTCCTGTGCACTGCAGTAACCCTTGTTCAAAAAAGGCGTTATTGCTGTTGTATACTTAAGGACAATGAAAACGCACGCCCGCACTATATGCATTTTATTACATGAAAACAAAACTCTAACTCCATTAGATATATATCATAACTTTAATACAAAAACGCAAACTTAACAACTAAAAATAATTCAAAATGTTTAAAATCAAATGTACAACAGTAAACCGAAGAACCTTAGGTGAAAATCCCTAAATCACACATTTTCGTCACAGTAATGCAAACTTAACAAAGGCAAAAACCAAAATGAAAATCCCAAAACAAAGTCACTCATAATAAATGTCTATTCGTAATGTCACCGTCGGGATCTTTAGAAACGACAATATCCTCCATCAGCGTCTCTTACAGTTGACATCGTCGCCTCATAGACCTTATGGTGCGGATAGTCGCCTGTGGAATCTGATGCCATTCAGCCCGTAGTGAAGTGCGAAAACGCTGGTGAAGCCAAGAAATTGTTGACCGATGGACACCAAAACGCTTGGCGCTTTGATAATACAAAATTTGATTGTAAGATAGACCAGACTGAATCAGTCCTAAATCTACCCAGCGGTTAATTCTTTGTAGAATCATTGCATACAATTTGCTAGCAAGTCTTCAGTAGTGTTTGAAATAAAGCACCTTTTATAGAAGAAAAGTGTGTATATGCAATTTCAATGTGAGCTTTTACGATTTCTAAAACTGACTATTGGCATAGTTTAATATTTATTTTCATAAAAAATCTAATTGCTCATTTGTGTCTAACATTTCTAGAAAGGTGTGAAAAACAAGGTTATAATTAACAGTTTAAAAACATAAATAATTTCATTTCATAAAGTAACCACGAATTGATTAAATCTGTTTTCTGTTGTGAACTTATCACAATTAGCCAAAAGTGTTACTTTTGATTTTTCGGGTACTGTCTTTATCATTCAATAACTTCATTAAAATGCAATCATTTTTTATTACTTTGGTATCTAAATGACCGGAATGCATTCGGTTTTATGAAACTGTGAAAAAATACTTAAGAGAAATATATTTTACTTGTTAAAATGCAATTATTCCGACCGTGCGTTTTCATTCTCCTTAAATATATATTTCAATCGTTTGTAGCACGAAAAAAAAAGATTTGATGTCACTTTGAAAATGAAGGATGTTTTCAAACATGCTGAATCTACATGTTTTAGCTTCTTATAAGTATCTACTTTCTAAAGGACCACGCTTACTTTCAACTTTTTCCAGTGTCTGAAAGAAACGGAACTCCAAATCTGTTACTCTTATCAATTTTTGTAAGAAAAGAAAATCTGTTGCTGTCATTGTCAAATTAATAATTGTTTCTATGTTCTTCCTCAGTTTTTTAGCTTGCATTTATATGTCCCCATTTTGTTTTGTTTGTTCTTACTCTTAAACATTTGTGAACTATCAGCGTTGTTCTGTTAATCAGTTGGCCAATCAGAAGTTGGTTTCAAAAACCACTTAGGAAGACAACCAATTAGAATCGGATGCTAATGCTTCAGGTGTGATCCCTCGTGATGCAACATCTGCTGGATTTTCTTTATCTTGTACGTATGTCATGCTAACACCAAAGTGCCTTTTGATTTCATCGATTTTACAAATAAAGGCAACTTCTTTTCCAACATAACCCACTGTTCCACAAATTTCGCACCTGTCAATAAATATTGTTTTTCAACAGTCACTTTTAATTGTTCCCTAACAAATGTTTAGCACCGAAGGCAGATTATAACTGCCAAAAGCTGTAAACTGGGAAAAGTTTTTTTTTTAATAGTCTTGCTTTTGCAATTTCTACATTTACATCGTTTGGTTTGCATCTGAAACATGCAAATTTATCACTGCCGTGTTTGATTTTCCAAAGCATTACAGAAACATAACAATATATGCTCAGTAGAATTTCATGTGGACTTTGAATTTGAAGCGAAAATCTATCAATACAGACGACCATTTCTTTATCTTACATCATTAAATCGTCATTCATCCAAGTCGATGTTTTTTCTGCCATAATGACTGAATAAACATTTTCCTCGTAAAAGTGCTGGTAATAGTAAGCAAAACTGTTAAAAACGGACGAAATTGTTTTCAAAAGAGATAAATACAGAATCCCTAAAGAAAGCCCAACGCGGCAAAATTGAAAATGTTGCAGGCTCGGTTTGATTGAGCCTGTTCATGGACGGTACTGGAAAGTGCAAGTTACCGTCCACGCCCCCTAGCACCGGCATAAGCAGAATTCAACATTCAAACGTGAAATAGTAAAATTTTGAATTTAGAAACATCCGCAGATGTGTTCATACGGCGGTTATCATGGAACCTTCAATGTGACACTTCCGTGCCATTCCATGAAAATCGGCGTATGGTCCCCAAGTAATAAAAAGCGTGTGCCCTAAACGAGAACGTGTTTTGTCGGTTCGTTTGACTTTTTTTTTCTTATATGTTTTTTAGTGTGTCTTTAGTGACATTCCAACGATGACCAAGTACTTCAGCACTTTTCGTTGCAAAAGTTCACAATTATGTACTTTGGGTTTTGGCCTTATTATCGCTGGTAATTTTGATATAATAAATGAAAGAAGAATCCATAATTTATTCCTTAAATGCCCTAAATATAGAATTCACAGTCAGATAGCAAAATGACTTTACCGTATTTTTTTTTCTGTGGGCTCCAATTTCTGCGGATTTTCTAAATGTTGGCATGTTTTTATTTCTGCGGACTTTATTTCTGCGGCTCAGTCTTTGGATAAATTGTCTCGTAATTTAAGATTATACTGTACCTTTGTAGGTCTTAAGAAAGCCTTTGATTCGGTGTATAGAAACGCATTATGGTATAAACTTTTTCACATGGGTCTAGATGGCAAAATTCTCAAATCGTTTAAATCTATGTACTCTGTTGTTAAATCATGTGTCAAACATTGTAATAATCTGTCTGACTTTTTTGAAATTTCGATTGGTCTAAGGCAGGGACAAAATAATTCTCCGGCATTTTTTGCTTTATTTTTAGAAGACCTTGAATTATTCTTACAAGGTGAGATAGATAGTGGAATAACTTTGTACGATTTAAGTATAATTATCCTTTTATTTGCCGATGACATGGTTTTAATTGGTAAAACCCGAGAAGATCTCCAAAATAGTCTTAATTCTTTACACGAATATTGTTGTTATTGGGGTCTCGAGGTAAATACCATTAAAACAAAAATTGTTGTTTTTCGGAAAAGGGGACCGATAAAAATGTGGGAGAAATGGAATTATGGCAATGAGCCCTTAGAGGTTGTAAATGATTTTAATTATTTAGGAGTTGTTTTTAATTATACAGGTTCATTTGTTTTAAATAATCAATGTATTGCAGGCAAATCGTTAAAAGCTATGCAAGTTTTAGTAAATAATATTTATAAATATGATGTTAATCCAATTATTTCGCTTCAACTATTTGATTCTTTTGTTGGATCTATTTTGAATTACGCATGTCCAATATGGGGTTTCTCTAAATCTAAAGACCTTGAGAGAATTCATATTAAGTTTTGTAAAATTATACTAGGAGTACAACAGAGCGCATGTAATTCTGCAATTTATGGTGAGCTTGGGCGAAAACTTAGAAAACTTTTGATAATTTAGTTGCCTGTAGAATCGTATTTGATAAAACGTGTTAAAATAGATAAATAAGTTCAACCAGGAGATATAAGGATTTTGGAAAATTAAAAAGCAAGAACAACAGGTGCATGTTTTGAAAACTTTTTAATATTGATATACTTCTAAAATTACATGAAATATTACTACCAAATTAATAAAAACATATTTATTTAATCATATCTTTTTTAACAAAAGACGATGCCAAGGTGTATGATCTATTAATTTAAAAATACATGAGGGACTTTGGATTATTTCATGTGAGAACAATATCCAGCAAGCTTTCGAAACGTCGGTGGTTCTACTGAGGTGCCCGTTCGTGCCTGAAATAACGCAAGGAAGGGCACCCGAGGCATTCCTCCGCCAGTATATCTGTTTTATAACTTTTCTTATAATAACGCTGGCAACATAAAGATGAAGGATAGAGTATCGAAGAAACAGCTAGAATCGTAGATATCATTATTAAAACAATGTCATAGGAACTAGTAGCATCTCGGATGCTGCCTGAAAAATAAATGCAATTGACATTGAGACACATGTTAGCTTGTAAGCAGGTATTCACTTATATGTTTGCATTATTGAATTGGCAATACTTATATATATCTATTAACGCACGAACCAGTTTATTAAACCTATTGTAGAAATAATAAACGTTTTGTAAAAATGTTAAAAGTGCTAAAATATGACTAAAAATTCATTTTGAATTTTTTAATTTGCTATAAATTGTACATTTTGCATTGACATTTGACTATAAGCTGCAAATTATTTGTATTGCGTTTTTCAATATAAAGAGACTAAATAAAACAAATTCACAGTACATAACATTACATTGCATCAATACTTTGCTATTTGAGTATAGATGGACGCTATTTGAGTATTGATGGACGCTATTTGAGTAAAGATGGACGCTATTTTAGTGGATGGATATGTTGCATTTTGTTTGGTTTTACGGCGCACTTACACAATTTGTCACAGGAAAGACGATTTTGGAAAACCTCATGTGTTACAAACTTAAAGCAACACCAGCGGTCAACATCCACCTCAACTCGCTGGAGGGAAGAGATGCATAGACTCCAATAATTTTAACAAATTTAATCTCCTATGATCACGCAGGGATAAACGGTAGATGCCTCATCAATCCTTAAAGGCAAGACTTCAACCACAAGAAAGGAATGGCCTTTTGATATTCATTGGTATTGGGCAATATAAATAACCTGAATAGTTATACATCCAGAATCCTGCTTCTATTGATTATAACTGCTCTCTTACAAGCTTAGACATTTGTCTAAAATAATTTTGTGTAATGAACGCAATAGAACACGACTAAATACATACCAAATAATGGTCCTGAAACTGCAGATAAAATGCCGTTAACAGTTAACATTAATCCAATAGCAACACTGATTTGTTCCTTGTGCATTGTTTCCATAACGAAACTAATGGACCCCGATATTATTCCACCAGAAACGAGGCCAACACAGGCAGATGCCACTGCATATGTCAAATAGTTTGTCGAAGCATACATCAACATGTATCCAACAAACCCAGCAAGAGATGACAGTGTTACAAAAATAAATGAATGCGTTTTAAACTTCCATTTAACAAGACCCGGTGCTAATGTTGCTAGCACATTAAAACAATTTAATATAACAAACAGTTCCTTTGTTTGCGATTCGTTAAACCCTTTCCAATCTGCAATATCGAACGCAAGTTCAAAATATCCGTTCATACTGGCAATAGCTAATCCATTTCCAACAAGCAGGGATACAAATGGAATTGAAGAGATCTGCTGAAATGTTTTTAATACGTAATGATATACCATACAAGGCCTTTCTATAAGAGTTAAATTTTCAGAATCTCCTTCTTTTTCGGATCTGTAGATAACACTTAAATTTCCTGACATTTCCTGCTGCCATATGAAAACAAAAAGGACAAATGAGTTGCAATAAAGGCCACCCAATATGAGAAAAGTTCCACTTAGTCCGTAAGAGTTAACTAACCAGTTCAGAATGTAAGGGTAAATGATCCCAGCGGATGTTGTCGATGCGGTATGAATGGCAACACATAACACAAGTTGTTTCTCATCATCGGCAAATATTCTGTTTACAGAAGTTACGGCACAGACGTGAGATAATGATATACCAACACCTTGAATATAAAGGTTAATACATAAGTAAGTTTTATTATGATATCTGATAAGTTATTGTTTGACCAAATCAATGTTTGAATATGCAATAGAATATTATTTCTATTTCAAAAGTCAAATTAGAACATTTATCAATGATAACTTAAGTAAAGATCTGTAGAATAAGGAAACAAAATAGTTCAGTTTGATCATAAAAGCATCACCATCTGCTTTATAATATCATGTTGAAAACCACTAAAAATCATTTGATCTGCCTCCTCTTTTGGGTACCTCTACGTGGTGAGGAGGAGTAACATATGTCCGTTGTGGAGGTGCGCTGCTGTGCGCCTGTATGACGGACATATGGCCAACACCCAGACTGCCTGTTTGCCGTGGGCAGCGTCCCGTAACCTAGAAAAGGGGGTCCTGGTAGTTGAAGGATACCCAGGAATCTCAAGTACTCCTAACACACTGCTTTGGCCTCTGCTTTAGGTAGACGGGTGACCAAGTGAGCCCGGCTTTGGTCAATCGGCTGGTCATTGCCTTGCCCTTGGATATATATTTCTTAAATACTTGAAAAATTTCATTGAACTTACACGGTCCCGAAATGAATACAATTCAATGCACACAAATTATTTAAAATAAAAAAAAATCTGTGTTTAAAATTTTTATTCCTACTTGTGTTTCTAGTATACCTTTAATTCCTACTGAAACTGCTATGATGGGTGCCGTTATGTTAAAACAATATTTCATATATGCATTATAAATACAGTATAACATATCCAAGAAGGCGGTGGCTAATGGGCTAATTGTGTAGGTTGTAAATATTTGCAATTTATGCGAAGTATATCTCTCTGGTATCCTTGATGTGCGGAGACTGGATATCCGTTTCCATCGCACATCCCCATGTTGGAGTCCGAGGTTGGCTGGGGAACCCGGGAGACGAATTTTAATATCTTTAATCATGGATATACAAACAAAAAAACGAAAATCGCAAGAAGATGATTCAAGTGTAACATTTCATTTGATGGAAGTTTTCCCCGTTTTCTGATAATTGCAAATCAAACGGCTCAAAATCACTTACTGAACTTAGCCCTTCATTATAGAAAAAACAACTTTCGGCTTTAATTGGAACACCTAAATCTGTCAAAGAAACTCCGCAATGGAGGACTCTTGATAGAGGTAGAGCGGAAACAACAATCAGACATTATTTTGAAAATGTACCAGCTTTTTTAACATTGAAACAACTGCCACACCACACCAGTCTCTAAACTCCAGCAAGGGCGTCATCAGATGTTCTGACCTTGCTGGAATGCTAGAAGCAGATATTGCTGAAGAGTTAAAATCACAGCAGGTGTCAAATGTCAAAGCGCATTCAGTCTACAAGAGATGGTAAACGACTGCCAACGAATAGCCTTATTCTAACATTCTCCACACCCCATTCTCCCATCATCGATACGAGTAGGTTACCTTAACGTTCGCGTTGCGGTTTACATTCCAAACCCAATGCAATGTTACAAATGCTTCAAATTTGGTCACCATGAATCAAATTGCGTGAGGGCAGACTATTTGCCGCAGATGTAGCTCAAACCATGACAAAAATGAGACTTGTAACGTTCCTGTTAAATGTGCAAATTGTGGAGGAGAGCATTACGCCACCTCCGGTCATGCCCCTTGTGGTTAAAGGAAAAAGAAATTCTTCGTCAGAAAGTATACGCAAAATATTTTCCTTTCAAGATGCACGAAAGCTGTTGTGAAAGTCACAAGGACCAAAACAACTGTCGTATTCAGCTGCAGTTACAAAGTCTGTTAAGATGGTTGACTCTGCAGTACAGGTCAACTTATGTCAATGCCCCCCCAATTAAGTTACCATTACCTACAAAGCATACAGCTTCACAAATAAGCAGTCTACCTCTGTGCAGACTCAGTCACCATTAAAGTTCTTCTCCCAAAGAAGCAAACCGCAAACATTCAAATATAGCATCTTCTGAGAAAGTTATTCAAAAAACAATCGCCTAAAGAGCGAATTGTCATCATAGATCGGTTTGAAAAAAGCAATGCGGAACCCGATCAAATCACAGAAAATCGGTTCGATCCACTTCACGACACCCAATTGATGGAGGAATGAGGATCTTTACCTCTCCCCTCCTCCAACTCCGAATAGCAGAAGTCCAATAAAGTTCCTAAATGATATAAATATTCTTTAAAATGGATAATAGAAGTCACTCTATCTTACAATGGAAATTGCCGAGTCTTAAGTCAAAATTTATAATGATCTACTTTTACTATTATCAAAATTCTCTCCAAATGTATTATGTCTTCAGGAGACTATGTTATCTCCTAAAGATAATATCTCTATAAAAGATTATACACTTTATAATTAAATATGCCACTTGTAAAACGCCAGAACATCAGGTGGTACAAGCATTGCCTATCGCAAATTGCGTTTTCCTCAAAAAGAAATTGAAACTAAACACAGATTACAAGCTTTAGCTGTGCAGGTGACCTTACATCGACCACTAACAATTTGTTCTTTATTACCTTCCTCCAAATTTAACGGTAACAAGTGATGAACTTGAAAGTATTGTTCGGCAATTACCATCACCTTTCCTTTTGTTAGGCGACTTTAATGCTCACAATCCTATGTGGGGCAGTACATCTACAATAATAAGGGTAAACATAACTGAAAAATTGATAGATAACTTTCAGCTTTGCTTATTAAACAATCGGTCACCTACAATATTTACATCCAGCTACAGGTACGTTTTCTTGCATATCGACCTCTCGAATTGTCCACTCTGCTATATACTTGGACTTCGATTGGAAAGTTTTAGATGACTGCAGTAACGGCGTGATCATTATCTCATTGTTACTTACATCAAATGACTCTATACCAGATGAAATGGACGTCAAATTTTTAAATTTAAAAAAAGCAGATTGGGAAACATTTACTAGGCTCTGTTTTATTGATCTAAACAAAAAATGAATTTGATTTTACTCTGATGATATAGCTGAAACTTTCTCTTCAGCATTACATACGATTGCTTGCAAAGTTATTCCATTAAAGAAAAATAATACAAGTACAAAATCAAAAAAACCATGGTTTAACGAATGAATGTAAAAAAAGCCGTTCGAATACGTTAAAGCTTCACTCAAAAAGTTTGAACAGTAGCCCCTACAACAGAAAACTTGAAAATTATAGAATATTTTAGAGCCAAAGCTAGAAGATCAGTAAACGTCTCAATCTAAACGCCAATCATGGCAATCTTATGTTTCAAATATTAATGTCAAAATACTCCTATTAGGAAAAGTCTGGGATGCAGTACGAAAAATAAGTGGTAAGTATAAAAAGAGTCCAACTGTTCACTTAAAAACTGGTAATGGCCAATATGCCAAAAACAAAAACAGATATTGCAGAAACTTTGGCTAAAACTTTTTGAAAGAACTCTTCTTCAAGCAATTATTCAAATACATTCAACAACATAAATGTAAAGGCTGAGAAAGAGTAATATTAATTTTACTTCAACAAAAGGACGAAGATTATAATTCCCTTTTCTCTATTGATGACTTAATTTATTCAATCAAAACTGCAAAAGATAGTGCTGCAGGCCGGACGAAATTTACTACCAGTTTTCTTAAACATTTACCACCCCAATCCTTAGACTTGCTTCTTGAAATTTTTAACAAAATTTGGGGTATCTGGTGAATTCCAACACTTGGAAGAAAGCGTTGATTATTCCCTATCCCTAAACCTTGGAAAAAGATTCAACTGAACCCTACCAATTATCGTCCAATTTCACTTACAAGTTGCCTTCTGCAAAAACATTCGAGAGAGATATGATAAATTATCGGTTAGTTTGGTATCTAGAAAATAATGGAAATTATCCACTAATTTTCAGTCAGGTTTTCGTAAACAGCGAAGTAATTCAAAACGATCATCTGTACGAACTTGAGGACTTTTATTAAGAAGATCTTTGTAAATAAACAACACCGTAGGATTGAATATATATCTTTGAAATCTAAGAGAAGAGAACACACCGGGCCCACAGTCTTTTCCCGCCCCCACTCTCTACAGCTCTTTCTCCCCCAACGCCACCCTCTTCCAAAAATCTTCTCCTTCTTGGAAACATACCCCTACAACTCTTCTCTCATCGGGCGAGAGGTAGCGTCCCCCTAGCGTTCGCCTACAGACTGGCTTGCGCACATGAACCAACGAACATCGGATCTCCGTCAGACTTCTAGAAGTGGCAGGCTAAGCCTTCCCTGTACCCCCCCAACACCACGGTTTCCTACCTCTTCCTCGGGTCCCCCCGCGTACACGCCCCCTCCCCCTCAACAGATTCAACAACGGAAAAAAAATAGCTGGAAATCACCGGCTCCCTTTTTCTCTTTCTTGCCTTTTTTTCTTATTTCCTACCAAAGCCCTCCTCTTACACATAAAGTCTCTCCCAAGCTCCGTCTTTACACAGGAACATAAAAACAAAACAAAAACCACACTGAACTCGCCTTTCCCTCTTGGTTTTCTACCCAGCAAACTCTTCCCGCCTCTGGTCCTCCTTAACCGCGCAAAAACCTGACAAACGACAACCAAAACACACACAACAACCCCGCACACAAAAAATATCAGTCACAAAATTCACTGCTCCCCCCCATTCCTTCATCTTCCTTCCTAGCAAATCACCAACTTCACAACCCGGATAATTCTTTTTTCCCATCTCCTCCTCCTCCTCCGAATTGTTTTCTTTCCTTCCTGAGGCAACCACGACACACGGGCACAAACACACACCCTTTTCTTCTTTCTGCCTCACCTGCAAAAACTTGGGAAACGCACTCAACCTTTCTCGCGCCGGTAACCCGCGCCGTCCCCACTCTCTTTCCCCTTTCGAATTTCCCCTCCTCTCTCTCCCCAAGGTCTCTCTCTCTAAACCGCGGAACAAATCCAGGGACCAACACCACTCAACCCGCGCTTCCTCTCCTTCCCCTCCTCCTCTCCGCCCCACCCCCTCTCTCCCTCCACCGACCCTTCACTCCCCCCAAGCTCTTGGCGTTCCCTCTCTCGGGGACACAATTCACCCACACAGTCCACCAACATTTCCTTCACCACCAAAATTTCTCCGGCTTAACAAACCTTTCCTCATAGAAAGCGAGAGAGAACTACTACTCCTGCTGAATGTGGTGAGACATTTCTATGAAGAGGAGGGCTGGAAGGATGTCTAAAGACTAATAAGCAGAACTTACACATGCGTTTTTCATTTTCTTGATATGAAAATCCTAATAGGCGATTAGTAGAAGACTTTCACGTTTAACAGGGTGACGCCCTCTGGCTTTCAAACCTCTTATTCTCTAAGACCTTTGTATTTTGACAGTACCAACAAGTATACATATGTTGTTCCTCATAGGAATATTTTTGCTATACAATTATTCTATAAGAATTTTATAAAGGTCTCCTCTCATTTGGCAAACTCATAAAATAAGAGAAACAAGTGATGTGGGCATATATTGCGATAATCATTATACCCATCTCAGCCCGGAATCAAATATGACTTTCTTCTATATTGTTAGTACTGATTTTTCTATCTGTGCTATCTGGTTTGAAAGTTTTAAGATTTAACGAAAATAGTACTGTAACCAACCCAATTGAACACCCGTCTAATTTCTTTTCATATCCCAATCAGCTTAATTTTTATTAGAATAAACAATTTCATAGAAGTTGTGTGAGAGCAAAAATGATTTAAAAATGGTTTTTGAAATTTTACAAGAAGTAAATCTTCAATTTGTTATAATAATCATTGGAATCTAGACCAGAAATGCGTAAAATTCATTCATAAATTGCTTTGGACACAGAAACTAAAAGAGAGATTTTTTCATCTATATTCTGTTTCCGTCTTCCTAAAAAGAGTTTGAGTGTAGGTTTGATGAAGCTAGGTTTCTAGGGTTGATTATAGTGTGGAAAAAAAATAAATTTTTAAATAAAAATAATACTTTCCGGGTTTATTAATGACCATCATATTAAAACATTTTTGGGGGGGAAATAAAACTAAAAATGGCCTATAAAGCTTTAAATTTATTTAAGGTGTTTTTATCAAAGTACAAATTGGATTTAAGATTCTTCCACATTTACTGGAAATATTACAGAAGTCTTATCCCGATCTTAAAATTAGAATGTATGGTTCTATAGTATAGTGGTCTGCAGAAGAATCATATCTTTCAAAATGCTAGATACCATACATCACCAGGGTACGTTTAGGTTTAGGTGCTTTCGCACTTTCACCGTGTAGAAAGTTTATATGCGGACAAGCTGGTGAACCATTGGCGCTAATTTTCGTCGTAAAAAAAGCTAATAACTCTCAATGATGTCACTAGAATTCATCGTAATGGGAAAATTCCAGCTAAAATATTTTATATTGTCCATACAGCGAAGTTATACTGAAGTTTTTGTTAACAAATCGAAAAGGAATGCTAGAGACCATGTAGACTGAAGTCGGTTGGGTGTTTTCAAAACGGTTAGATGATTTAGAAAACTTAAAAATTATTCAGAATTATCGCGGCGGTCGGAAATGACGATTGAGGATGTTCCACCTTTGGATATAAATTTCCCGAAATAAATATTAATCCTTTGGTCATAAGAATTATAGGAGAGAGTGTGGGCCAAACATAATTCACGCTGAATACTGCGAAAGAAGACGAAGAGATTCTTACGCAATTAAAGGTACACACGAGCGAATTGTATTTTATCCATATTATACGGACGGGTGTTTTTTAAAGACAGGAGGTTGCAAAGTATGCGGCTGTGTTTGAAAAGATGGAATTTTATCATCTTAGTATTTTGAGGTTAACCAGATATTGTCATCAATTTTACTTGCGCTGAGGATTGTCAAAAGCCCTATGATTATATGCAGATGTCATATCATATTGCACTAGCAATATGCCACTGATGAAATTTGTTGAATTTCTTGACGTCGCTGTTCTGTTGGTTTATAATCATTAAATGATAAAAATCTGACCATTATATAATGGTGATAGATAACTTCTTTTTTCGAATTTCATGATTCTAAAATTACATAATATAGGTGTGTAACGTTGATATTGGAATGTTCGCTCAAGCCATGTAGGAATTAGCGAGAAGATGAAAAAGGTAGGATGCTTTTGATATGCAAACAATCATTTAAATTTTCAAAAATTCTGACTTATTGTCCGTGCTGTGATTTTAGACCGCTTATAATATAATCTTTCGGTAAGAATCATCTGAATGGGAAAGGCAAATTGGGACAAGCCGTTTTTATAAACTTACTACGATATTAAACCCATCTATTCGAATGTCACCATCTTATTCTCTTGTCAAGACCGCCGTGAATTCATATATCAGTTCTTCTTCGTGTAGGGTTGTTGGGCCGGGATAGTTTGGATGGACACTGTACATAAATTTGGTTTTTTTTGATTTTATGTGGGTTGGGGGGACGACCGCTACTCTTTAATTTCCGGTCGACAATAGTTGACTAATGCTCAGTGCCTTTCCATGTGGGTAGGTTTGTATGTATTGAAAATTAACTGTAAGCCCAATTTGTGTCTTCTTGAGGATTGTATGATTTCACAGTCCGTAAATGATTTATTGTCTGTAAGATTCACTCTTCAAAAGAACTTTTTTATGATATAGCATATTCCACAAAAAGCATCAATTTGGATTTATTTAAGAGAATAATATGCTGTGTATTCTCTGAAGAATTAGATTGGCTTTCATTGTGGCTATGTCCATTTTACAATTATTTTACATTAATATTTAAGCTCTGTATTATAGGCATTCGTCACGATTGAGGGGTGGCCAGTGTTTTATGTGTTGAATCTGGTGCCGTAAAAACTGGAGTAAACAAATATTTGATCGCATCTTGCTTTAAAACAGAAGCGTCACACTAATTAATTGTACCTGCTATAATGCCGATAGTTATGTAAAGGTAGAAGATATCTGATACAAAGAATGACACTGTAAATCCAAGAGGAACCAACAAACTTGAAACAAATGTCGTCTTTGATAAACCAAATTTATTGATTAAAAGACCGCTTACAATTCCTAAAAGCAAAACAAAAACATGTAAATATCTAAATGGCAGAAATACTATTTTTCCTAACAACTTAGCAAATGAGTTTAAATTATCCTTTTATAAAAAATTAATTGGTTGTAATCCAATAAAACATTTTGATATTTTATTCTACGATGGTTTTAGTGGCAAACCAGCTAAAATATAGCGCAAGACATAATATTCGGATTCATACTGACAATGCCTATAGTAAGTGATTCCTTTGGCTGACGATCTTCATATAGCAAAACCATAGTTATGTCAAAATCATGTCCATATCGTGCTGTCTCCTCTATATGGTGTTACAAAACATTCTTTTCATCAAAAACATATTGTTGGGTGCCCTGTAACACTGTATTTTGGGTCAAACGCATTTTTTTGGTCTAGCCCCATTGTGAGTCAAATTTTTACTTCAAAAGTGCCTTAACATCAGACAAACAACCTTAATTTAGGGTCAAACAAATTAAACAAATTAAAATTAATTATTGATATTTTAAAGTTCTATTTTTAAATTAATGTCAATGGTAAACTTAAATAAGGAACGAAGTAGGCGAATTGTATTATGTCGGATCAATATTAGAGGATAGTTTATTTCAATTTGTTATATCTAAGACTTGCAATTTGTAACAGAATATTTCTTGTAACTAATTCAATGTGTCTCATAGAATAAAGGCCTTAAATTGGATTACACATATGTTTGATGTGTATTAAGTGTAATAATACATCAGATAACATATTATCTTAGCTTTTCCCAAGAAAAAACTTTGTGCGCCGATAATGTTCGCGGTTTCGTGACACACATATTTCAATCTCATATCTAGATCTTTATACCATAGGATCTGCTGACGACATATAAAATAAATCTGGATGTTCCCTATTCGAAAATATTTGCATTGAAAAGAACTCTTGGGGTACTATCCTGCACCGCTGGGAAAATTAAAGATTTAAGACGGCTTCCAAGATGGATGTCAAGTTATAAATAATATAATATTGATCACACTCATCAAGATTACGAGTAAAATGGCAAATTTAGATGACCTTAAAGTCCATTCATATGGAATGGAATATTTTGTCTTACAAGCTTCTTTTTATAATATTACGACAGTTTGTACGCAAACAAGCTTATTACTGGGACACTTATTTTGTTGAATTTAGAATATTGCAATAGTTCAAATTGAACGACATCTTTATTTTTTATGAAAATATATATGATCTTCGTTTTATTTTATGACATTTTAATGGGCAATTTATTTCTCGAAATTATTTTTACAATAGATATTGAATTCGTTCAAACTTCTGATTTTGCTGTTATCAATTAAAAAAGAAAAATAGAGGCGCAAATATTGTAACAGTCATGTCGGCGCCTTTTTTAAGTTCTTAGTGTATTGTCTTCATACTTGGCCTAAGGAAAAACTCTTCCGACAAGACCTTTCAGAAGACCAGACTAAACATGACCTTCATTCATAATTGACATTGACTTTAAGGGTCAAATGTCTCAATTTTGCTTGTTTTTTCTATTAGAGACTAAACCTTTGTTATTCAATGAATTGTCTCAACAATTTTCTAGAATTGATCTTTAAGTAAACCAGAAAGAGATTGACCTTCTCTCGTAAATGAGCTTGACCTTAAAGGTCAAAGTTTTGAAGAAAAAAATATATGTTGTTGTTGTAGTAACTGACTATTACTTAGTTATTAATGAAAGGATTGACTTCATATGACGAAAAACTATTTTAAGGTAACACCTTTTTAGGATATTGATTTCTTTGGTTCATTTATTACATTGACCTGGAACGTTAAATTATTTTTTGCTATAATTGACTGTAAATTGGTAATCAATCAATGGATTATGTTCATATTTGGACAAAACAACATTTTTTAAGCAAGACTTTCAGGTTGAACTGGCCTTGGCCTTGAACTTCAAATGACCGGCAAGGTTTTAACAATTTATGTGTTCGCCCATTGTTTTCTCGTTTAGGGCACACGCATCTTTTTTACTTGGGGACCATATGCCTTTCATGGAATGGCACTTACTTGTCACATTGAAAGTTCCATGATAACCGCCATATGAACACATCTGAGGATGTTTCAAAATTAAAAAATTGTACCAGTTAAATGTTGAATTCTGCTTAAGCCGATGCTAGGGGGCGTGGACGGTAGTTTGCACTTAACAGTACCGTCCATGAACAGGCTCAATCAAACTGAGCCTGCAACATTTTCAATTATGCCGTGTTGGGTTTTCTTTAGGGATTCTTGCTTTCTCTATTTTAGAAAAAATAAATAAGTCGAGCGTTTTTGTCGTGTACAATGACTTCTCTTGCTTGAACTGCATCAGTGCCTATGTCAATTTCACCCCGCTATTAAAGCCAACAATTTCAGTTAATACTAAAATACACACCACACCGGAAAGATTATTAAGTTTATTAAATGAAGAATGCATTAAAAGTGCGAACCATTTTTGAAGGTAGATTTTTATGTAACCCAGATTGACAGATATTATCAGTACGCATATAATTATACGCAAGATTGATAAATATGTATAAACATGGCTTGCACTCTTACTTATCCCAAACACATATTTATGCATGTTCTCAATTTACATATGTATATGCACGTACAAAAACGGACTGCACTTACATTTCATCAATCTCATATATACATACATGTACTTGAATTTCAGAGAAAAACAATTCAACCCTTACTTTCCCTTAATTTCGGGTAACCAAATGTAAGAACAATATGAATGCACTTCAAATGCTGTCAGATTCGTGGACCTATGATAGAGGATGAATACATCAGTTACATGCATTAACATATGTGCAGAAGTAGGAGGACGTATATAAAGCCCGATTCCGCAATGCACTTCAAAAGCTTATACAGATGAAAATGCATAAAGAAAAGGTATTTGCGCTTTTCCTGCATAAAGTGAAATTCCTCGCGCTATGTCATTTGGCAGCTTTGTTTTGGCAATGAAATTTCCATTCATTGCAACCACCTATTATTGCACGCAGGAACACAACAATGGCGCATGTCCGCATGATTTTATCAGTCAATGCATGCTTTCCTTACCGCTAATGTATACCTGCATGTACACTTTTTATGGAAGACTATGCAATCAAAGTTGTATCCATCAGACATTTTAAATGACATTTCCAAGTTTCTTTTTGTCTAATAACTCTCCAATGTTGTTGGTCAAAAACATTTCTGAGGCTAAATCTTTATCAACATACATGACATAAATTCTTCTTACCGAAACTTAAGCTAACTCCTATTAGCAATGATTGTACAGTAGCGGCTGTTGATCTGTCTGCCTGATAGGTATTCATCATTTCAACAAATACTGCACCAAAAGAAAATATAGAGCTGAACTGTAGTCCTGATACCATGCATGCCAATACTAGGCATATCCACTTGCTGGAACTTCAATAACATATTTACAATTGACTATAAGTGAAATAATTATCCATACATAGGTCAATGATTATTGAGCAGTGTGTGAACTATTTCTATCTGCAATGATTCTTTATTTAGAAGAAAAGAAAAACTTAAAGACATACATATGGATAATAACATGCTAACATATTACAAAAATATAATAATCAAGAACGAAATATTACGTCTGGACATAATTAATGAAATGAAATTGAAATCTTTCAGAATAATCAACGATAATTCTTGCATAAAATATGATAAAAAAGATCAACAAGGAAAGGCGGCGTTCAACGAAAACTGAACACACACAAGTATATACTTATAAAGAAAAAACCTGCATTAACGAATAAAATAGAGACAAACAGAATCCCCAAAGAAAGTCCAACACAACAAAATTGAAAATGTTGCAGGCTCGGAACCATGCAAGCACGCGATGTTGAAATAACCAGCACTCGGACAGTACGACTAATACGAAACACAAACAACGAAACGAGCAATGACTCAGTCAGGCATGTACTTTTATACAAGAATATTGCTGATTCACCTTTTTTCGTGCATTAACATCTGCAGAGGCCTTTTGACTGTATTCAGGCCCTAGCCCTGACGATTTGTGTGAATATAACGCATAAATTAAATGTATTTAGATAAATATTCCCCATGATACTTTATGATTTGTTTGTATAACACATCATTAGATATGTCAACAAACCAAAACATACATACTAACTTCATATTCCTTTCATCCATTGGATTTCCAAACAGCCAAATGCATTCCACATCAAACAAACTTGAATGTTGCTTGATGACGAACAGGTTAGTCCTGTCTACGCATACTTTGAATATTATGTGTCATGCCTGGTCGGAGTTCTTGTTATTTTTTGTGACATTATTCCTATCCATGTTAAACAGTGCTTGTATAAACTCGTATCTTAATTTTGTCATGATCGCTTTCTATTCATAAGTTAAATATCTATAAATATCCTTCGTACGCTATCGTTAAAGTTTACTTAATAAGAAGAGTGGGGAAGTCTTTTTACATTTTAGGCAGTTTTTTTACCTCTTATCCAAACCATTTGTCGTAAATCATTTTACATAATATTATATTACTAAGAAAAAGAGAATAATGTCTTTTTTTATCTACATTGACAATTACGATAAAGAATATAAGAAGCCCTAGTTTACTGCCATGGTTAAACATAATATGCATCTCATCAGACAACAAGGGACAGCCTTTAAAGCAGTCACTCTCTGAGAACTATGTTGCCATTCTGACGAATGATCTTGAAATGTAAAACTTTCCTAGCAGGTTTAAATATAACTTCTTACAATAAAATATATCGACCTGGTTTACTCACCATACATTTCACAGATTTGGCGTTACGTTTGCACACTTTCTGCATTATTTCCATAGTTCTGCGTTACCGAACATACACGATGAAGAAACACCTTTTAACTAAATATTGTCGAATAGTTTGTATAATTTGTGCTTTTAAAATTATTTCCAACTTCACACCAAAAGGAAAATGTTATTAGATATTGCCGTACTATAATACACGAGCACCTAGGGTCTTGCTCCACCTTCACGGCCTCGGTATGGTTTAAGTCCAAACAAAACAAATACACTTATTGATCCCACTTCACCCTGGAATGCAACCATGTAAATCTCTAATGCACAGTGACCTATTTTTGAAAAGTAATACAGTTTTTTGTTTTGATTATAGGGTTTGACTGCTTTGACAGAGTAAAAAGAAAGGTTAGTACACAAAGCATATAATTTGTACCATGCGATATGATTATACAAAATTACATGTCAATTAGTTGAAAATCACATGAAAGATTACGAAAAATGCTACCTAACAAATAACATCATAATTTTGCGGCATGGATACATTTTGTCTGTCCAACCTGTAGCCTCTCATAAGTTTAAAAAAGCAATTTCAGAAATCTGTAAAATATGTTAACAGTTTAAAATGACAAAGTTCAATACTTTCTTGCCAGTTTGGAATTCGCGTTCACATTTTTTTGAGGATGTATTTGTCTTTTGACGTCTTATCTGTGATATGCAGGCTTCATAACCTCAGATCCCCTTTCATAATTCCATTTTATTAAGTTCCGCCCATTGTTTTCTCGTTTAGGGCAAAAGCATTGATTTCTTTAACATCGGGACCATACGCCGCTTTTTCATGGAATGGCACTACTGTGTCACATAGAAGGTTCCATGATAACCGCCGTATGAACACATCTGTGGATGTTTCTAAATTCAAAATTTCACCGTTTTCGTGTTAAATGTTGACTTCTGCTTAAGCCGGTGCTAGGGGGCGTGGACGGTAACTTGCATTTTTCATTACCGTCCATGAACAGGCTCAATCAAACCGAGCCTACAACATTTTCAATTTTGTCTTGTTGGGCTTTCTTTACGGATTCTGTTTTACTATATTTCAATGTGATGTTGTTTTTTTATTATTTTTCAATAATATCTTCATTTGTACTAGTTTTGCCACCAACAACTTTAACATTTTTTCAAAATCACACCACCTCTGCATTCAGGTGTTTCACAGAAGTGCAAGAATTCTTTACTGGTGGAGAAGATATATTTTGCTTTTCATTTGTTCTGGGAGGGAAACTCAAAGAAGGCTCAAAATCAGAATCATCCAACTCATCTTGATTTAAAGGGTGCATCTCTCTTCTCGACAGCTGCCTGGATATTTGCTGGTGTCAGCGTGCTTGTGTATACTTTGAATGCAAGTATACAAACATCATAATGTTCTTATCGCTCCTCAGATTCCCACATGAAGCTGTAACATGTAGAGTTCCATGAAACATCAAAGGGTCCTTAACAACTGATGTCTCAAGACTGTAGCAAATGAGTACAGTGTGGTTGTAAAACAAAAAGGATGATATGATTTTCTTTTGTCTAATCAAAAAGAGTAAATGAGGTATGACTTTTATGTACATCATACAGTACAAGAACTGGGGCTGTGCAGTGTATATTTCATGTACTGGAAGAATAGTAAATTAGTGTAGCAGCGTCCTGCTTCTCGTACAACTCAAAATACCCCTGCAGAGGCACCTTAAAGATATTAAGGTAGCATTCTCTTGCCTGGAAATATGACAAATGGTGGCACCTGATTATTCATAGAATTTATACCACCGCCTATCACAGTTGCAGTTTGGGATTAACAAGAAGTTACAACATGAGCTTTGTATACTACAGCAGTCACAATTTTAGGAGGTGAAAATAAATTTTTATTCATATTATATATGGCCTTACATCTTTTAAGAAAGAGAAAGTAAGAATCCCTAAAGAAATGTTATTTTCTACTAAACTTTTATTTAGTTCATTGAAGTTAATGCTGATGTCTTGTCTCGTAGCACTTCTAGCTCTAGCTGCTTCAAGACGTTTTGTTTGTTTTAACTTACAGTTCAGAAACCTATTTATGAACTTGTAAAGCAAACGCAAATTTAGTGGGTGTTCCCTGTATCTGAGTCTCAAATTTACAGTATAGTCAGATGTCAGATTTATAGTCTCTGTTCGGAAATACCTAATTTCAGCCATTGTATTTGGTTGACTTGCAAATACAGATTCTTGCTATTTTAAAAACAGCTGGGTTCGACCTGGCTTTGCATTATAGCCATAAACAATACCATACACTCTGTCCTTCAGAGCTAATTTAGGAACACCGGAAGGCTTGACTCTCTTTGAATAGACACTGTGTGTCAGTTTTACTTCATTAAATGCATTTTCAATGTATGTCTGGTCATAGCCGGTTTGATATGAGCCTTTTTTGGATCACGTTTATCAAATGAGATTTTTTTAATATGGTGTCCCTTTTACGCTTCCGTACACCTTCAGCAGAATAAGGAAACCCAAAACATGGTTTGATAAAATATACAAGTGTTAACTGTATCATTCGACACACGAAATTGATAATCATGCTGTTATTTTAAACACGATATGCATGCGCATATATGCTTTATTCATGATATGCAAACACACGCTTTCTCATGTTAAGTCGATTCTCGCTATCTCGAAGTCACCGAGAGCGTCCATTTCGAGAAAACAAAATGTCGAGATAGACGTAATAGGAATCGAACCAGGCAGAAAATGATTTTTACAAAAGACATTATGCTTACCGTAAATCAAGTATGCTATCCCCATGTCTAGTTCTTTTTTGTGTGTTATGATAATATTTGATTGAAATGATTTAGTGAGGTTTTTTATCAAACTGACTTTATTTTGTAACTACCAAATTAGATACTGATATGTATCTTCTTTTATGTATTTTCCCTTATATTGTCACATTAACTTAAAAATCATATACACCACATGGACATTTTAAGGGAATGTGCAAGCACAAAATCTTTCATTCAGGTACATAGAGTATATTATAGTACTAAAGCTGTTAGATGAACTTCCATCACAAAATAATTGTGTAATTACGAGCCAGACTTGCCAGTCATTTATTTTCTTTTATGCAATGTAACTGAAACCAAAATATATTTTTGAATAATTGAATTTTCAGAGGATTGCGCAAGAGTTATCTTACATCTTCTTGTTTTCTAACTATACCTTTTCAAAAATCACACATACAACTTATTCAAAATCCAAACGTTTTAATATTTAAGATACAATTACTGCATGCATAATGTTTAATATCACTTGTTTTGGTTATATCTTTGCGGACAACCCACCAAATCGGTTTTCCTGTATAAGTTACCGGTAATTGCCATTTTTTATGCAGATGGGCTTTCATTTAAAATATGCACGCGCGTACATCCACATGAAAGCCAATCACTCTTTCAAGTACACATAATGGAATATAATATGAAAATGTTAATTTATTTTAAATCATACATTTACACAATATATTTGAAATATTTTTGCATAGATTTAAGAAAAATGAAATGCAGTCTACAAAATTGAAATTTCGTCAAAAAACTACTATGCCTAAGACGATTTAAAACAAAGCAACACTATGTTAACATAGTCTATTTTAACATATTAGTAAACATGATGCACTTCATTTTATACTTATTTATATATTCGATTGTAGATCTGTCTGCAAATATTTTGCAAACATTTTATATACATGCATATTTGATTGAATAAACAACAAAAACCAACAAAATATTTTACAATAAATCAATGATAACTAGAAACTGTAACTGTGAACAGAGTAACTGAATTCAAATGGTTACAGTTACCTCCCATGCATATTACATTTTGTTATCTTCATGCATCATAAAATCAATTTAACTTTAAATACTGTAACCGGATACAAAAACATTATATAGAGTAAATTTCAACCGATGTAAATTTCAATAAACTATATAGATCAAAAGTAATGACAGACAGTGTAAAACCTATTGGCGAACACAAGTTACTATAGCAATTTTTAGTATGTTTTGCATTTTTCCGCTACATATTTTTACAATTAATAAAGATGATATGATTAATTAAAATAATATTCAACTTTCATGCATCTCAGGTGTATTATTAACTATAAGATTTGGAACAGAGTACCGTAATTTTACAACACGATTACATGATGGTATAAATATTTATTATTTCTCAAATGAAATTAGATTTTCCCGAACTGTTGTAACGAAATAAAGAAATATTTATGGTATATTTTTAGTCAATACATAAATCCATATATGACCATAATATGTCTTGTTCGGAATCAAAATAAGAATTTTGAACACAGTATGTGTTTACAGAAGAACACATGTCAATGTTTGTGGTCAAATCTGTTGTTATTCAAACAAAATGTCAGGGTAGAGATCAATCA